TTGAGGATTTCCTTATTCAAAATTTGATGGCTCTAGGTACCATTGTTTTATCACAATGCGAGAAACATACATACATTTATGCAGATTCTTCAATATTTAATTTCTTTAAATATAAGACAGGGCGATAAGATATGGTGGCAACGATTTGAAAAGTGATACAGTCTTTTAAAGTTTCCGACGCAAAATGCCAAAACGAAATTAATTGTCCTTCAGGGCAAGTTGCCCCTTTGGGGATCTCAAAATTCCACTTGTTTAAATTTCTTTTTAGTAATTCACGGCATTTGGTTTTACTTTAGGTTTTGAATTTTTCTTTTACCCTTGCCTACATGATTGGCGAAACACGAATTGAGTAATTGAAGAGTTAGGTTTGGAGGCAACTTCCCCTTGATAAGTCTGTCTCTTGCCTGCTCAACAATTATTCACTTGTGCATTTTTTAAATTTTTTAGGATTAAAAAATGTTTTTGAAATTATACATTTGTTCATGGATTTTGATGCTTGCATTTGATTTAAATATGCTCTCAGAATTTAAATGATATTGCAGATTAGTTCGCAGCAATAATTATGCAATTAAATTTCATTAACTTTTAATTTGCTTTTTACAAATAGAGAATGTTTGCTAAATTCAAATTTCGTATATGAAATGAACAATATAGCAAAATGTGCAACAGAAAATACGAATTTTTGAAGAAATTATCTTTTGTTTTCTTATAGAAAACATATCAGTGGAAAGATTAGCTTTTAGTAAATTTTACAGCATTTAGTAATAAGCATTCAGTTCAATTTATTGAAAATTCCAGATTATTCAAATTCTGCTAAACACTCAACAGAATTTTAAAAAATAGATTTTAGGAGATATATAAAATTGCATGCCATAATTTAAAAGATTTAGAATCTTAACACTTTTCATAAATGGAAATCTGAAACCCATGCTTCTGTATCAAACAACTTGTAAGGTACATTTTAATGTTATAACAGTTATTTTAATTTAGTGAACTCACATTCCGTCCTTAGCTAAGGACGCAGTGGCAGCTCATACAGACACGGAGAAAGCTGAATTAATTGCTGACAGTCTCCACACACAATTCACACCACATAATAAAGGGAATTTTGCTAATACCGCAAATTCCTTCCACCTAGATGTTGAAAGATTTCTAAACTCTTGGTGTCAGAAAGACATACAATATACAACCATGCACGAAGTTAGCGAATATATTGCTAAATTAAATCCTAAGAACCATTAATTTAAAGTTCTTCGATGACTATGTCCCCTGGTCAAATTCATATAAGTATCTAGGAGTGATACTTGATTCCAAATTAATCTGGCGTCTTCATATTGATCATACACTCAATAAAGCGAAACCGTCAGAACCCAACTTTACCCCCATCTAGGCTGAAAGAGCCCTTTGTCAATTAAAAACAAAGCTCTTCTCAATACTTTCATCATTCTACCAATATTTTTGTATGCTTTCATCATCTGGGGTACTGCTGCAAAAACACACATAAAAAAACTTCAAGGCTTTCAAAGACCCTGCATCTAGTCCTTAATGCAGCCTATTATGACCGTACTGATGTGATTCATTCGGATCTTAACATTAAACCCATAGACGTTGTTATTAAAAAACTTAGTCAAAATTTATTCCGCAAAATTGAACAGATTGATAACCGTGCACTTCAACAGTTACCAGCCTACGGTCCTGTTATTCGCAGTTCGCAGAAAAGACCTCACTTCATCATGGGACGCGAATATGGCATCTATCCTCCAGCTAAAAGGCGTAGACACGCCCCTCTCTTCTCAACATTATGCCCAATATTGAATCCTGGTGTACTAAATGGAGGATATCGATCAATGCGCAAAAGTTGCAACTACTTGTCATCAGGAGAAAACATACACGGACCCCACTCAAAAGGAAACTTTATCTTTTCAATGAACAGGTGCCGCAAGTCACGAAAGCCAAGTACCTCAGGGTAGTACTGAATCAAAAAGTAACTTGAAACGACCATATCACTAATGTAAGGAAAAAGGCTTTCGCTGTAATCAACAGTTTAAAGCTCCTTCTTAATAAATTTTCAAAATTAGATCTGCGTCGAAAGCGGCTTCTGTATGTAATGAATATACAGCCTATCATTACATATGCTTCGCCAGCCTGGAATACGGCCAAAAATAGAGACCTGTACATACTGCAAGTAATTCAAAATAGAATACTTAGAAGTGATTCACTAACGCTCATTACTACGTCAGCAACGCCACTCTACACAGAGACTTGAAACTTAGTACAACTGAGCAGCATTTGCACAAACTCAACAGGAATTTTTCTTCATGAAAGCTCTTAACTATGCCACATTTGTCTAATTTAAACACACTAAATTATACATACAATTCTATCCGAGGACTGTGAAATTCGACCACTAGCGGACCCACCTTCGCAAATGACTCTAACTTTCCTACTTAATGGATTAGTCGTGTGCAAACGTGCAATATCCTGTATATAGTGTACATATTGTATATATTTTTCTTTTATATTTTTACTCTTTCTGTATTTGTATTGTACTGTTACTTTAAGACATTGTGCTTTTTCTTCAATCAACTTAGGACGTTTCACTTGCTGTCCATGATCGCTCTGCTTACTGACCACCCGATGCCTCGGTACCCTCTTTTTCCACCTCCTCCGCTCCCTCTGGGATACCACGGGCAGATAGTACCATGTGATGCACCCATGTGGCAAATTTGATTGAGCCGGAAAAACTGCACACTGTGTGGTAGTCCGGCAATAAATTAATCAGTCAATCAGTCTCTCTTCTCAGTTCCAGCGCCCCGCCCCATGAAGGACATACTGCCATGTAATTGCTCTGCCATAACTGCTTTTTTCTACTCCAATATTACTGAAAAGTACCACCTTTGCATTCTTATCAATCTGTTCACTATTTAATCACATCATGCCCGCAGAAATAAATTTCTGCCCTGGATATTTCGTCGCGAAAATTTAATCTTTACTTCACTGTGATTAGTGCGATATGCAATGAGCTTATTAATCTGTAATATCTTTCCTTTCCGCTCTTTGCTTTAGTGTCGTAGTTACGTGTTTTAAAATTAAAAAAAAAATACTATATATATATATAATTATAAAATACAAAATATATATATAAAATTTAAAAATACAAAAAAGTTTAAAATCACAAAACTTTCAAAAAAATCAAAACTTGATTTTTCCTATCCCTTTCCTATAACTTTCTCGAACTAATGTAGCTCCCTCTAGTGTGCATCATGATAACCAATTATGCGATTTTCCTATTTCTGCTTACTACTTAGATATTTTTCTGATGTGAAGGTACATGGTTTTGAACCATAGGCACAGTGCGTATTATCGTTTGGAGTTATTGCTCAAAAAAGAAAAGATGCCAACTTTCAAAGCGTTCCAATATGTAAATTCATGCAGATCTTACAAAATTTTGAATAAAAAATTCTAATTTTTTGCAGGTGTGCCTAGAAATACATCTACTTTAATATGATGTTAAAAATTTTGTAGATTATAATAAAATTTTTTTTCAAAAAATTATTTAAAAATACAAATTATAAAAATAAATCATAAAAGATGGGTGAATTTTATTTGGAATGAACCTAAATTTCGATCTGTCAAAGACGGAATCAAAAAAGTGTAAAAAAAAAGGATATTAATAAATATATACCAAATTCCATTAACCACTGAGGAGCTAAAATTTTGAGTTAATTTTTTAAAAACTACTCGTGCGATTTTTACAAAACTTGGCAGTTTCGCATAATTTGAGTCGTAGAATCAAAATATGGAAAATAATTGGCAAGTCATTTCAGAAAAAGTCGATTTTGTGACAAAATGCCTATATTAGAACAATGCTATATATATATATTTAATACATATCCTAAATTGAACTTTCGAGACATGAAAAACGCAATTTGAATTTCGTCAATCGGCCCACCACTAGAATGGAAAACACAGAACTGGCTTTTCCCCGCCCAAAATGTACATTACCCTTCACTACAACATATACAAACTTTCTCACGTCTTCTGCAGTGTTTCAACTATACGTATTAGGTGAGTCATCTTATGGCAGAATGTTGAACCCATACTATCATCTGAAACAAGTAAGTATTCAGTTGTTGTTGTACTGCCACAGCAACAAGAGTCTAATTCATAATTAATAACAATTTATTTAATTTCATATACTACATTAAAAAAGAGAGGGAATTTTATGATGTGATAATTTGTGATATGATGATAGTAGTTTTAGAATATCATTAAAACGATAGTTTTTTAATGTTATCAAAATATTGATCATGTTTTTTTAATAAAGTGATCCTCCTGCATTGTATTGAATTGAATTGAATTGCTCACAGTTGACAAGTGACTTAGTTTTCAAAGGTAACCAATCACCTAGGTCACCAGATCCTACACTGTGTGTCATTTCAGACATTCTGTTATTCTTTGCTAAACTATCTGCAGACGCATTATTTCAACTGTTATTGCTGCATAGACGAAGGATATGCTAAAGCAAGAACATGATTACCGTCTTTTCATCATTAACATAACTAAAATCACGTGAAACTCTTGTATGCAAAACGTCAGCACCTTCTTTTTCATTCGATATAATACCGATTCCTCAGTTTCAGAAATAAAATCATTTCGAATCGAGTCAATTAGTTTGAATTACCCATGAAACTCTGGTCACAGTCTTAAAAAAAATTCATTATATTTTGCTCCATATTCATAATAAGAATTATTATATAAAAAGGAAATGAATGCAAAAATTTACAATCTATACCATTATCCCATTTTGCTGCTAATACTAATGTAACACTTAATAATTGTAACATTAGAAACTCATTCTCTCTCTCTCTCTCTAAAGAGCTTACATATACAATTCATTCTGCATAATTCACGATTCTAAATGCATATTGAACTGCATAAGATTATTCAATTGCTTTTCTAAGATTTTAATTAGCAATATTCAAAGGCATGATATTTTCACATATTTAGGCCCTTTATTACGAATTAAATAAAAATCAGAAATAATTTCAGTAGTTTTAAGCTACTTTCTTTTCTTTTTATACTTTCCTAAATATACAAGTCTTCCTTTGAATAGTAACATTCAATGCATTTTTTCATTGATGACAACAAAATATCTGTGAGTGTACTACTGAAAATTCCGAAGATGGTTTCTTACAAAATGGTATTTGAGATGTCCTTTCTGAATAAATGATTTCAAACACACTGGACATTTATGAGGCTTTTCTCCAGTGTGAGTAGCTTCATGGTCCCGAACATGAGTAGGATGTTTGCTTTTATATAAGCAAAAGCGGCAATAATAAAATTTTCGATAATTCCTTTTAGTTGCAATTCTGTACCCTAAAAAAAAATAAAAAACATTTATTAGGAATATACTGACATTTACAATTCCACCTCAACTTCTAAATATTGATAGTTTAATTACACCTAAATTTTTAAAACCTAATCGAAACAAGGCATGACTGACTAAATCTTCCTTAATAAATGAGCATAAATATAGTGAAAACTCTCATAAGCTACTACTTCCCTTAGACAAGCAACTCTGAAAGTGTATTTGTTAAAATATAGTTAAATAATAATACTAAGTATCACCAACAGTAAACCACTTATCCATAGAAGATCAAAATTGTCTGGAATCATAGGTGGTCATCTCAGGGAGATTTCCCTATAATAAAAAATTAAATTCAAATTTCGGAAATTATTCATCAAATGTTTACTAAACAACAGAACACAGTTTGTCTCAAACTATATTTTGACATGCATATATTGCTATTTTTTCATGTTAATTAAATTAAATAACTTAAATTTCATTCATTAAAATAAAATTGCAATAAAAATTGATATCTGTTGTAGACATAGTCTCTCTTGAGTACAAGCTAATCTGTTAAAACAATTTCAACAAGTGAATATAAAAAAGACATACAGTCAAAAGTCGTTAATCCGGATTCGTCGGGACTTCGGCGATTCCGGATTATAGATCATTAGTTTAAATCTGGTACGATGGCATGCAGAAATTACAAAATTAAAAATATGAAACCGTAATTTATGAAATAAAGAACAATTATGATCTAAAGGGTATCAAAATTTACAAAACAAAAAGCTTAATATTTATTTGTTTACTTTATTAAACATTTCTTTCAATGTAAGTTGTTTAAGTTGCTTCATTTCATGTGATAATACTTACTATTTAATTCTATTAAACAGACATAATTTCTTGTTTAGTTACAAAGTTCCGCTGTTCAAGTCCTATAATTGCTGTGTCGAGAATACCGACTAATTTGTCAACCGAAATGTTTTCGTTTTCAATAACCTCTCTGTCACTTTCTTCACTATCGGAAGCGAATTATAATGACGAGGAACTTGATTTAAATCATATCAAAGACGGTGTACATCCAGATGCAATACTACATTCAGTAAGGAATTATAAGCCAAATAAAATAAAAACATCTGCCCTGAAGATAAGGATAGTGCTGACAGATCAACTTCCAATTCATTGCGCGCCGCCGCATTTCTGCCCCCCCTGCCGCAGAGCAGCGTGAAATTGATAAACAGATTTCGGATTTCAAAACATACTTTCGCTTTGTAGATCTTTTACATATTAGTAAATATATATCGGAAATTCTATTTGACATAATCGAACGTTCAAGCTTACTTTTATAAAATTGCTCTAACAGTCTGCAAAAAATAATAAGCCGGATCCAATTTGAAGATTAAGGAACAACGCAATCTGCAACATTAACTGAATTTGATAATTTTAGCTTAGTTTATACCGTCTGTTATACATTAAACGCGCATGCGTAACCGTATTCTGCGCTTGCGCACGCCCATATTCGCTGCCGTAAAGGTCTTACGCGCAGGCGTAAACGCCTATGCGCATGCGTCAAAGCGACGCATGCGCAGAAAGTTTGTAGCTTTGAGGTCCGGATTATAGATCATTCCGGATTATGGGTGTCCGAATTAACGACTTTTGACTGTATTATTAAATATCAAAATGCATATACGTCTTGTGGCACTTATTTCATATGCTAACATAATAATTCAGTTATGTCCTAAAATTAACAAATCATTTAATTTTAAAAGAATGTGAATTCTGTTATGAGACATACAGTCAGACTGTAACTAACCAGACGCGATCTTTTTTTAAAAAAGAAAGAATAAGTTAAGATTGTGTATTGCAGAATGATGGACAAATTAATATTACAAATCTGCAGCATAAAACAGAACTGTCTATGTAAACTTGTTTTTATTCACAATGGTATGTAATTTAATTTTATACAATCCAGAATGTATATCTAAAGTAAAATAATAAGCAAATAGTTTTAACTGGTCCTTTCTTTTCCCCCTGCACATTCGATCTCAATGACATAATTCAATTTATCTTCTAAATATTTTCTTTAAAGCTATTTATAACTTAGTTTCTTTATTTCTAATGATATATACTTACCCAAAACTTACAGTGTGTTTTTTTTTACTTTGAATATTGATTTAATTTATGTAACTAACTGAACTTATTCTTCTGGTTATACTGCTTGAGAATACAAGTAAATTGTTAAATTCAGTTTCTTCTGTTAATTATAATATGGATTATTCCTCCTTCCAGTGTTAATTAACTGCCCTTAGATTAATCACAGCTTTGATTTAAGCTTGGACCAGTATCGGTATTACCCATTAAATTAGAAAGTGGCTTCCCCTCCAACAGCGAGCATTTGTCATTTTGACATTATTATTGTGGAGGCACTTAACAGGCGGCCGCCATTGCCTCCTATGAAGGGACGGACAGTACAACCATGCCCTCTGGATTCGAACCTGGGCCCTTCAGTATCGCAGTAGGCTTCCCTAACCGCTATACCATCGGCAGCAGAAATTTATCATATTCCTAATAACGTAATTTTATGTCTAAGTCACAAATAATTTATGAAAAAAAAGCTTTTATTTCAATACATTATGTATGCCATTTTACAATTATTTTAAGAAGAGTTATGATTATGATGCCATAGTTCATTTAACATGAATTTATTCTTCCAAACGGCAAAACTAAATTAATTAGCACTCATTGCGTTCACTTCTTTAAATAAACACAATTTTATTTTATCTGTAGATTGATTTTCTAAAAAAAGATTTCTGACATTAATATTTCCCATATGAAAAAAATAATTTTTGACAGGAAAGACCACTACAAATGGTAAGTTTTTTTCCCAAAATCTCATATTGCAAGCTTTACTCATTTATAAATTTACAAACTCATAAAGATAATAATATGTATAACACATAAAGTAAACGAACTACAGTACAAAGTCTGTAATCCAGACTCGTCGGGACTTCGGCGATTCAGGATTAGGGATTTTTCCAAATTATAGATCATCAATTTAAATCTGGTAAGATGGTATGCAGAAATTATACAATTAAAAATACGAAACCGTAATTTATGAAATAAAGAACAATTATGATCTAAAGAGTATCAAAATTTACAAAAAAAAAAAGCTTAATAAATATTAAGCTTTTTACTTTATTTAACATTTCTTTCAATGTAAGTTGTTTAAGTTGCTTCGCTTTTTGTGCTAATACTTTCTCTTTAATTCTATAAACAGACATAATTCTTTGTTCAGTTACAAAATTCCACTGTTTAAGTCCTGTAATTGCTGTGCCAGGAATACCGACTAACTTGTCAATCGAAATTTTTTCGTTTTCAATAAACGTTCTCTGTTACTTTCTTCACTATCGGAAGCGCGCATGGGTAAACGCTTTACTGTCTTTATGCGCATGCGTAAACGCTTTACACACATGCGTAAGTTTGTGGCTTTGAGGTCCGGATTATAGATCATTCCGGATAATGGACGTCTGGATTGGAGACTTTGTACTGTATTAATAAAGAACCTGATTTGGAATCTTAATGTGCACAGAAAGTTTTCCAATTTTTTTAATGACTGAATAATTTCATATTTCATACTGTCAAAGATTAAGAAAATATTTCAATTATAATTAATGAATCAGGTAATGGAAAAAAATTAAATTATCTCTTCTAAAATTTAATAACTTTAAAGCAGGTTGAAAGATGATGAATAACATACATAATGAAGAAGTGATACATGACGGATTTTCACAAAATTCAATACATTTAGGTGAATTCAATGTATTGAAGGTGCACTGAATATATTTAAGTTGATAAAAATACAGAATCTAGGAATTTTACTATGAATTTAAATATATTTTCTGAATTAAATTCAAGTATATATTTTTAAAAAGATGTCATTTCAATAGCATTAGATCAAAATAAAACTAAGGGAAGCACTTCCGCAGAGAACCCGGTAAATGTAAACATCGCCAACTTTGGCGATAATAGTTCTAACTTGGTAACCCTTCGGATTTATCCCATTCGCTTGTTCGAAGTTTGCAACCATTCCTCTTGCGTTTATGTTGTTGAATTAAGACTGTCGTTGTTCACATTTGCAGATTTATATTATTTTTCTCTTATTTATTATTATTTTTTCTGAATTTTTTAACAACGAATAGATAGAAATATTTTCGTAGATAGATGCCGGTTCTCGGTTCGGGATGAAAGGAGGGGTGAATGCTAATTTGTAACACGGCTGTTCACGTTGTGTTCTTAATTATTAACAGCTCTAAGAACCATGAGGTTTCTAAAATAATTTGTTTTCGTAGACCGCAAATATGTGCATGTGCATTTTAAATAATTAAGTAATGCTTTTATTTTTATTATTGTTTATTGTCATCTAAAATTCTGAGAATAAATCAATTTTTATGGCGTAAAATTCTAACAAGATAATATATGTTGTTGCTCGTTAGAAAAGTATTAACAATGCTTTTCTAACAATAACCTTTCAGAGGATGGCAGGTGTGGCATAAATAGATGATTAAATTGAAATAAAAATATTATTGATTATATAAGATGACAGAATAGTTTGATGCATCCCCATGGTCATAAAAATTAGCAAACAACTGCTGGTGTAAGGAATATATTGTTTTCTGTGTTAACTGGAATTTAAGACAAATTTTTTTTCATATATCACGTTTAACCGGTTAATTTCAGTATATTAATACTAATTTATAGTTTTTAAATGAATTTTTATTTCCGTTATAAATGCTTATATATTGTCTTATGCTTAATAATATATTCTTTTCTGTGCTAACTTGAATTTAATACAAATTTATTTTCGTATATCACGTTTAACCCTTTAGTTTTACATCTAAAAATTGCATGCATATTATATGTGAATTTTTACTACCATATGCTTAATATATTGTTTTATCTGCTAACTTGAATTTACATGCACTAAAAATCACTTTTACGGCTCGGCTCATCGTCGATGAACCGCGAGCTTGGCGAGTAAGAATGCAACGGCGCCAACGGGTTCTTTCCCGAAGCGGATGAAAACCCTCCGTTACTGCAAGGTAAAAAAAAATGAACTGGTATAAAAAGTGCAAAACAATGCAAAACGACAAGTGCAAAGAATTGCTGCACAAAATCGCATAAGCAAAAAACTTAATTAAACTATAAATTTAAAAACTGAAGAAATAAATGAGCCTAAATAGATTGTAAGATCAATGAACATTTTTAATGACAGAGATTAACTTAAACATAGTTGCATACAGCAGAGAAAAAAGGGCGAAGAAGTAAGAATGGTATACATATACATACATACGTAA